TCTACTGCTCCCCAGTTTTATTTGCCGGTCTTAGAGATAGAGATTACACAACTCTACGCCAGTCTATTAAAATTATTTCTCTCACAAGCAATATTCCTTATTTGCGCCTGCTTAACTTTATCGCCTATAAACATTTTACCTCGTGTGATAACTTCTGCCACAATATTTTGTCAGGCATCACTCACCCATTACACAGATAACTTAAACAATGCGTATCCACTTCTGTAACTAGATTTCGTTATAAACTGATGTATGCTCGTACCACTGCTTACCGTTTGTCAGCCATCCCCTATCTTCGGAGACTTCTGGCTCAAGAAACATCTGCGAGAGAAAATCTTTTGAATTTCCTACGCAATTTATATCCATTTTTAAACTTTTACATCATACATTCCTTTGAATTTACGATGCTGTCTTTTTTCCCTTTCCCTTTGTGAATGTATGCAATGATAAATGATCCTGAAGTTCAAGAAGCTGAGGACTCATCCATTAGGATGAATAAAGCGATTTTTGACTTCATTTGCCTCTCAGGTAGGTCATCAAACGCTGATTCGAACCGCTTTGCGAAAATTGGGTTGTACAACTGCAGACCGAAACGGTATGCCTTTTGTATTATTATTATTGGCTTGAATATCTGTTGAGGATAGTCAAACAACTTGATTAATCCACTGTCTGTGCGTAACAAAACGTCATTTGATAAAACATTAAACACAGAATAATTCTAGAAATATCATCCAAAACGTGTGATATACAATGTTATTACTCTAGTGCTTGGTCCAAAGCTCTCGTTAGTTCTGGTTACGGTCGTAGTTCTACTCACCCAACTCGATCGGTTCGTTCGTTTTAGCTACAGTGCTATTCATGCTTAGAGCATGCATTTCATGTGAAAAATATCTTTTAACTGCAGGTGCAGAATACGTCTCGTTGGGCAGCATAACGGACTCGACTGATTCATCGACCTATTGCGTAACGGTTTCCGGTAATCTTTCCAGTTCGCTATAAAAAATAGTGGCAAGTTTTCTGATTGATATTGAACCCTTCTGTGTAATCCTGAATAAAACAGTAACAATTAAGCAACTAAAAACTGAGACGTTCAGTGTTTTTGGAGCTGGGTACCGGAAAGTAGCCGGAATCCATTACCAAGCGTCTCACCTCCGAGGAGAGGGTCGTCTAGAATCTCATCGGCAAGTTTATGACAAGAGTTGATGCGACCATCAATGATTTCTGTGATAACTGAATCGATCGGGAATGATGATGCGCGATTGATAATCACCAAACCACGAAGAATCGTTCTGAAGTCTTGTTGTAAAAGACCGGGAAACACTACAGGGAAGTAATAGAGTAGAGTGGGTGAAACACATTGTGAACAAAAGAGTATAGAACCGATAAGGGGGTTCGGATTGACTGGTTTTGCGTAGATGAGAATATGGGCGTCTCAGATTTTGCATACATATGTGATTGTTCAAGAACCATCAAAGATTACGACCGATGGTGACATCCAGATTCTTGACTGAGATCACTTTAGATAACGGTTTGCAGTTAAGGATAGCAGAGTCCGTTGGAAATGAGGAGCGGGAAAGACTGAAAATACTCTCTCTCTACGCACTTAGATATGTTAAGACTGAGACCAGATTGATTAGAAAACTGTTGGATATGAGATAGATTTTCCGTGAAAGTATCATATACCAAAGAAGATGAAATTTTCTGACATGAAACTAAGTCATAGGCATACTTTTGGGTGGGCCCAGGCGGTGGGACCGAAAGATCACTAATAAAAGCAGAAAAAGATATGGGGATAGAAAGCACCTTAAAGGGCACCAGAATTATTAACAAGAGGTTTAGATGTCCCGCTTCTCAATTTGATGCTCTAGATCCCTTCTGTGAAATAGTTAGGAAGCCAAGATCGCTGTATCCGAGTGCCAAAAGATTCGACTTTGGAAAGAAGGGATGGTTGAGAAACGGAATTAAATACTGACGAATAGTCAGTAAAAAACAACGGACGTTCTTGGCCGAATGGTTCATTGAATTACTCATGGAATGGATTAAAGTGGACACGGTGTCCAGTGTGTAGACCTACTGGGTTTATATGCAAACTGGAGGGGTCACAGGGGATTGTGATAATTGACTGGAAGCGGCTCAGAATGTCCTTCTTAGTTAACTTTTAGAGTTGCAGAGGTCAGCGCGATAGGACGAAACCATTTCAAAAGAAAAGTGTTGACAGGGATTAGGGAAATAGAATAAGTATAACTTGGCACTAAGAACCAAGAATCGATCGGTAACACAGGGAGGGTTATCATCATATTGGTCAAGGACAATGCGCCAAAGTTGAGAGGTACCTGGAGAAGACCATCGGGGTCTGCAATTGAGGATACTTTGGAGGATGGTAGAACAAGATTTCATCATTGACAAGAGACACTAAATTGTTTTCATTGCACGGGAGAATGGAATCTGGCTCTCATCTATCTGGTGGATGAAAACGTGGTAAAGATATTAACATCCACCAGGGTATTCTGGGAGGGGGGGGTTGTTCTGTGTTCTGCCCATAGAGAAGGCGAATACCTTGCCATAAAGCCTGGTATTCTTTGTTCGCAAAAGTTTGGCGGTGTAGATTGCATTCAGATAAGTTAACTCAGACCTGATTAAGTTTGAGTAGTGCTTTATGACTGATGTATGGCGAGATTCGTAGACCCTCTCTATGGCAATAGTGATCATTTAAGATTGGAATATGACGCAGATCGCCCGCAACTAGGATATAATTTGTGATAAATCTATGACACAATTGGATACGTGCCATGTCTCACCGATGAGGGTGAGTTTCATTTAGCCCTGTCTTCGCTCATTCTTCAACTATCACAGCAAACTTTGTGATTTTATCAAAGCAATCAACTTTACCATTTTGTTTCCAAAAAACGAGAGTGTGGATTCGTTGGAAGATTGTAACAGAAATCCTTGTCCAACTACTCAGATCGACCCTTTTGGACACACGTTCTCTGAGCGACATTTTTTAATCGGGATTAAGGTTTTTCTTTTTCATTTCACTTCGATCTCATCTATGTTCACGAGTACAGAGGAACAAAGTTGATTGCTTCTCTCTCTCTCTATATATATATTTATATATATATGTATATATATATATATAAACGCACATGGGAACGCGATTTAACAAAAAAGAAGAAGGCAGGGCTAAGTGGTCTAGCGAAAACGAATTTGGTAACAGAGGTGCAGAAACATGGTAAACCAGTGAGTTGTGGAGAGCAACAGAAGCATAGACGAGCGCATAAACAAACAAAGCGGTTGGAGTCAGTCTAACAGCATGCTTCGCTCCCTCATCAATGTTACCATTGACCTTAATACGTGCTCACCTTTTNATTCATTGGTCGACGTGTGAGTATGTGGCATTGTAGCAGACACACACACACACACACACACACGACCGTTTGATGGTATTAGGCTGTGAGAAGCGGGAGCTGGGACGTTTCTGTCGTGTATGCAAACAGCACCACCACCACCACCACCACCACCACCACCAGCAGCAGCAGCAGCAGCAGCAGCAACAACAACAACGACAGTTCCACTGTTCATTCGTTCATTCAACATGCCCCGGTTTACTGAAGCCTCACAGCAAACGTGCATCCTGTTTCCACACGATTCCGTCCTCATTGGAACAGGAAATAGACCGAAGCGGTTGCTATCAGTCCGGTGTTTATGATGGATGGATGCTATTTAATGTGAGGCCACTCAAATTTCGAATGAAGCGTCTTCTCGATTTTTATCCATTGATCGATCATGAACACAAGTGCTTTTAGATGGGTTTATTTGCAAAACTAATAATGTTGAGTAAGGCTAATCAGGGTGT